CGTGAAACAAATACCCTAGTGTAGCACCTCTGTGAACCGCTTCATGCAGCGCAAGTGAAACAAATTGACCTAGAAATAAGATCTTTTACTCTCCTTCTCCTCGTCCTCGTCCAACCACTCGCACTGTCGGTGCGGTGGCGTAAAGCAGAAGACGCGGCCCATTTCACTGTTGCTAGCAGTTGTATTCAGGAAGTTTGTTGAACCAGATAACTATGTTGCACTGCATGAAGTTTTGAAAGGTCAATTTTGCCCAGTAACATGAATCATGGTCTCAAACTGTAGTTGCAAACAAAATTTTTAGTTAAATAGTGTTCGTATAGGCAGTTTGAACTGAGCATTTATAGGCAATTATAAGAATTTAGGCACAAATGCCAGAAATAGGCATTTATAGACACTATAAAAGCTCTCCTTAACACTTAATTTGTGCTCATATATCGAAATGGTCCTTAACACTTAATTTGTGCTCATACATCGAAATGGAACGATAGGTAAGCAAGGACCAAAAAATGCACTTGCCTAAAATCTGGTCTTTAGTCATTATGCTTCGAGATAGTGCGTGTCACTGACTGCGCCTTTAAGCAACGAAGCCCTCACTCTCCCCGCCCCCAAAAAAAGAATGCAGCCGATGTAGTGATGTTAATTTGTTTAACCATCAGCTATTGACCCTGGAAAGCGAGAGGTCCACGTGTAACAAGGTGTAGCCGCTTCACATTGGATCTTCCGACACCAGAGCTGCCCACAATGGCCTCTCTACTGACAGCTGAGCGTATCAAAGCCAAATCGGGGATGCTCCGACCAGGAGGCATGCTTTTATTAATGGGATAACACATCAAAACAAAGCCATGCAACAATTTTGAATTCGGACCATAGCAATCTCGAGTTCCAAAGGGCACAGGAATTTTGAGGGGCTTTGCCACAACAGCGGCAAAGCCCCTAAAAGTCCCTGTACCCTTTGCCCTTTACAAACGTGGATGTGCTGGTGGAAGGAATAAAAAAATTAAAGAAAGCACTTCTAAATGAAGATCCATAAATGAAGTATATTAAAGGAAAAGTGTAAACGTGCTCCCATCGTTCACATGTTCTTCTGTGGACGCAAAGCACGGAAAACTAGATTGCGATGTCCAGAAGTAGACCTGATAGACATTCTTGCGGCATGTGTGCAGTTATTAGTGAAAATTGCTTTAACTATGTGCCGTTCGTGCAACTCTTCAAACGAGCCATCACAGCATTCCTGGAATGGCCATCGTCTGTCGATGAATTGCAGTTCCACGCTACCCATTGGACTAGACGCCCCAGCAAAGAGGGCGTTTCATCATTAAACGGACTTGCACAACACAAGTCGCGTCGGCACAAAATATAGAATTGTGGAATACTTAGGATGCACATGCGACCGCTGTTTATTCAGTGGGATAATTCTATGTGATTGTGACTTTGGTAGGACCGAGAACAAGGTGCATATGTTCTGATGTGCCGGCATGGCTGTTGCCGGTGATAAGACACTCTCAAATCCAATTTTGGTGCAATTTCCATTGATGTCATGATGGCGCCATTAATCAAACTTTGCACTTTGGCACAGTTGACGCAGGAGTGGAATCACTGAATTATCAAAAGCCAAACAAAACAGCCTCACACTGTATTGAAGGCCATCAACTGCATTCTGCCCCTTGGGACTATATGGACCTGCCCTTTGATGGTCCAAGGACACCACTCCATAAAATTAGCAGCATTGCCCATTTTAATGTCGTATACAGCAGTAAACCAAGCGACTTCCAGCATTATTCACTGCTGAAAAGCCCTGCTGGAACTTTGCACTGATGTGTTATGCAGTGAAGGTGAGGCAAAGGCAAGCTTCCTGCTACCTAAGAGTTGTTCAGATGGAAAATCTTTATTTCACTTAAAACAAAAACTACCTTTTTGAAACTTTCTATGTGTCTTTCCCAACTTGGACACAATATGGCATATTTATGCTTCAATATGGCATGTTTATGCTTCATTTACTCCCAAAATATTTTAATAACTTAATATAGAAACCGATGAAAATACAGCATGTGAATGTATTACTTGAAAAAAAAAAACTTTTTATAAAAAAAATTCTTAACATGCAACATATTGCGATTTATCGCCAAAGAGAACAATAAAGAACACAAAACAAAAGTGAATAAACTATTGTAGTCATGAAAGATTAGACCCTTAATATTAAGACAAAACTTTTGTTTCGTAGTAATTGCCAAAGCCAGAAATAAAATATTATAAAAAATTATTTAATGCAACACAGTTTCACTTGCGTGCTGCAAGTTTGAAGCCCCCTCTAAGCAACACAGAACTTTTCTGCAAAATATATTGCCTCAATAACTAGTTCTCCCATTCACATATACATGCACAATTTTTTTAGCATGGTCAGAGATGGTCGAAAATTGACCAAGTGCACTTGATATGAAATGACCCATTTAGAGAAAAAAATGATGGGGCAATGCATGGAGAAAGCTAGGGAAGCTGACATTGAAGTCCTAATTTGCATTTTTTTCTTTATTGTGGGGGCACTAAAGAGCAAAATGATCTCACTCATATAGGTTCTACTAATGGGCGCGAGGACATACCGTAGCGCCACCATGGGGAGGCATCCCTGTGAGGTACGTGGTTGGATTGCTCCGCCGGCTTCTCGTGCGCAGCCCGCAGCCACTTTCGCGCCTTCTATTTTTTATTATTATTGTCCTTCACTCATCGAAATCAGCAAAATGCTGATGCAGCTTCTTCCCTGACGGTACAAAGTGCTAAATAACTGCCCCAGAAAAGTGTAACGCTTCTCACAATGCCTTAGTGCCCCGGCGTCGTCTGCTATAGCCACCTAAATGAAACAACCACGGCGGCAGAGCACGGCGCTTCTGTAAAAGGTGATGACACGTTCCGTGTTCAATTAAAGCCTCACATGGGTATTAACGGTAAAGAAACTTACCTTTGCTGCAAGACGTGCGCAACTAGGCTAAGACGGGCCACGGTTGACATGACAAGCATGTGCATACTACATTTATCTTTAGCACACATACTCCTGCAAAGCACAGCGCAAGTGGATTCCTCTTTTTGTGGGAAGCAACAACATTCTTACAGCAGCATGCACCTGCAACCTTTCTAGCATAATTGCGCGCAAACCTGAGAATCACGCATGCACGTGCCTCATTCAGAGCTTTAACTTTTGTCTGTGGCACGCTCCTAATATTTATTGGGCAAAATTTCTATGGTGCTTGTCTGTCTACATCTGTCTTTCGTTTCTTGTCTATTTACACGCTCTAAATACCACTATGTCCTACGGTGGTCCCACGTTGCACATTTGATCTCCATATAGCCCCACATGGGTGAAAATTATGAAGAAGTGGTTCAGTTCCAGAGTCTCTACTCTCTACAAAGAGTAAATCGTGATTATAAAAAACCAATTAGCCAGCCAGATCAGTTTACACCCTTGAGCATGCTGTGAAGTCTTGTACATCACGATCTAAATGACAATTTCATGTTTCAATAAAATTGCCTGTGTCCAGTTTTTTTTTTTTTTTGTGCAGTTTCATTCATAAGCTGTGTGGTATTTTATGGCAGCTCTTCGAAGACGAATCAGTTTTCGAAGCTTACCATGTTTTTGCCTGTAGATCAAAACAACATTAACATGAAATGGCAGTGGATATGGGCCCGTTCTATACAGACATAATCTATAAGCAAGGAACCCCGTGGGCTTAAGTCGTGAACAGCAAACGCGTTGGCCGATTTTTTTTTTTTTTTTCGGTGGGGGCACCACCTTGATTAGAGCTGGGGGCCGAGCAGGCAAATGTGGGCGACCCTTATTTTGTGCGCCATATACCATAGAAAAATTTCGGGGGGGGGCTCGGTGTTCTACCTCTTGGCTACACCCCTGGTGGATGAAAACCCACGTGGTCGGGTACACACATGGGGATGGACGCCCAGGGAGGATGGTGTCGGCGCAGCCTACGGTAAAAGTTACCTTGGCGAGAGAAGTAAGCTTCAGCATAGACTATACAGCGCACATGTATGATCTAAGAAAGAAGGTTTTGTCGAATGGGCTGGTCGAACACGCAAACGCAACTGGCGACGAAATAGACCGGAATAGGGCAAAAATAATGAAAAAAAGGGAAAGAAACTAGACTTCCAGGCTATATCTTGACTCTCTGAAGATTCAGAGTCCCATTTTAAGATACACATAATCAAACCGTTCGCCCATTCATTTCTCATTGTGAACGAGGCTCCCGTGTAGAAACTGAAACGTTCTGCTTTGAATATTCATGGCCTATGCTCATTTTAACCCCATGGGCTCGAAATAATAACCACAACAACGAAGAAAGAGAGAGCTGACAGTGGCACTGCCAGCGGCCGCGACAGTGGCATCGCGTACCCAGTGCACTGTGGCACGCCGCCGGTGACGTTTACTGAAACTTTCCACATTGTGTAGTCTGCAGAAGTCTGCTCAGATGAAGTCAGAGCAATATAATGCTGTTTAAAAATGAACACACTGTGAAGTCACCGTTAAAAACAACGCATCCGACTGCCAGCGTTCCTTCGCCAGAGCGAGCCGAGATCACGTGATCCAACTCTACACGTCACAGCGATTGCAGCGCTTGCGCATCCAGTGGTGGACCTCGTGTCCAATACCAAGAACAACACACTTGTTGTGGGAAGGTACTTTCTAAGTGAGATAACGCTCAAACAGAAAATGCAGGTGGCCACATCACCTACAAGTTCCTACAGTAGTTACCATGAGATCATACAGTTTGATGGCATTTACTAGGGTGTAAAAGTGAGATACAGTGCTTTCTGAGGTGGCCAAAGGCTTAACACACCAAGTTTCAGAAAATTTTGTTGAGCACACCGTCATATTGCTTCGAAGATGGAAAGTTAGTCCCATTGATCTACCACAGAAAGCAGGTCCACACTGTGGATGCTCCTAAAATTCCAGGAGAAGCTTCAAAATACACTTAAATGGGACAAATGTTGGGACTCACCATAACAGCACCATCATGGTCTGAAGTGGCGGACACTGAGGAGAAGAGAGGACAGACTGGTTAGCAGTTTTGCCTGTGCACGAGTGAACAGCACTCACCATCTGACTTGCCACAACTGAACTCTGTGCTGTGGGTTTTTTCCAGCTTGCTGAAGGATAAATCTTGAGCCTGAGCACAAAAAAAGAAGACAGGCCTCATAAATCATGCAGGCCTTTCATTTTAGCGTATTTCAAAGTGGGAAGATCTGCTCTGTACTAGCCGTTTCTCAAGTAATAGGCACCGGACGGGAAGTAAGTGTGGCTCTGTCGGTGGCAACGGAGAACCAATGGCGTGTGGGTGTCGGAACAGAATCAGGCGCGGGTGTTGGATGTTACTTCCGAATCATTGTGCTGCTTTTGCTTGTGTCGGGCGCTGCCGAAATATAAGTCATGTGTACTAAAAGTGAAGATTACATTATCTGTTAAAATATTAAGGTCGATGAAGCATCGAAAAGACAACGGGAGCGGGCAAGAACAATAGCAATTGGCGAGTAAAAAAAGACAAAAAGGGAATGGGAGATGTACGCCCTCTTTTGTCTAGGTTAGGATAGGAGAAAATGTTAACGTGTAGACACAATGACAAAGTATTAGCAAAGATTCGGCGCATTGTGAATAGGTTTTATGCGAAGCAGTCAGCGAGTCTATACTGCACTTTTTTAGCTTTGAACCAAGCGTAACCAAGTGCATCAATGTGTTTTCGTTAATGAAGTAATTGTGTGGACATAAGTGATCTTTGAAGCCATGCCTACTACAATGATGTTTCAAGGATAATTTATGGTATGGTATGATGTCACGAAGGTACGTCCATTTTTATTAAAACGAAGCGCATGCTGCAGTGCGATTCACATTTCGTGCGCGATGCTATGAACCTTGCACGCTGCACTGGTCAGAATGTTGCTCAGGGGTCGAAAAATGCCTGATAAATAGCCTGCTGAGTGATAGAAAGTTAGAAGCACACATGTAATGTTCATCCGACGGTAATAGAAGCGTAGCCAGCCTGTACCACAATCAAAATTGGCATTTAGTCGACATATCACGTCTGTATCACAGCATTAGGTGTACATAAGTAATGTTTAGCACCTTGTCATAAAATTAGAAAGCCAGCACTGGAACCACTACTGATGTTAGTTGCACCAACGTTTTCTTGCACATAGGGTCTTTTCAAAAGGAGTTCCAAGACCTGGCCTAACTCTTTTGTAGAATAACTGATTGCCGCTAAGAATGCCTAGGTTTGGTTCCTTCCGGTAACCTGATTTCAGTTATTTGCATACCTGGGGTGAAAACGGCTGATGCCACATTTTGTTGACATGCACCGGTTTCAGTTACCAATATCTCTTGCTGCTTCTGGGTAGATATGAACTATGAATAGCCTGTGGCTATACACGCATCACGCGGCCTGTGTATGTGCCATGCCTGGCTGTAGGGTTTCACGACGTACACCGAAAGATTTTTGTGCTACTCATGCCACAACCAGATAGTCATGTTTGTGATACTGTCATAACAACTTATGCTAATATAGAGACGCACAGATGCATGCCCGTTGTGTCTACTATAGGTCTCTGCATTTAATACGAACATTTTGCTGGGCTAGCTGGTGTATACTCGACAACATCATTATTTAAGCGATACACATCAAAGACTACAAGACTGCGCATGCTCTGTGGTCTTTGACGAAGTGTTTGTCCATTTAGTGCTGAAACGAAAAACAGCTCGTACCCAGCGGCCGAGCGGTGCAGTTCTTGCTGCCTAGCCCACAGAACTCCACACAAACCCTTCTATGTAACACAAGCAAAAATACAATTTTGAAGAGGCTGTTAAAAACATGTAGTCAGATGCAATGAGAGATGAATTTGAAGGACAGGTAAGCAGCAGGCACTCACCATGAAATCTCGACCACCCACAGGCAGAGTTGCAGACTTGGTAGCCAAACCATAGCCTGGCTTGGGGACTGTGCGCAGGGATGAGACCACTGCAGAAAAAGATTATCATCGCTTGCAATCCAAATACAATGATGAGAGCATTAGATTATGAATCACAAAAAGCAATATACCACTTTTTGCTTCGTTTTGGCTAGCAAGAGAACTTTGTGACCCACATCCACCAGCCACCACATGAGTGCACAGCAAAACAGCAGAGTGCCAACTTTAATCCTACATCAGGAAGTTTTGTGGGATATATTGAAAGGAATGGGCATAGGCGACGACTGTGTACAGCTTCTGAGGGCGATGTACTGAGACAATACAGTTTGCACGAAATGGGAAGAAATAGGTAGCAAAGAAACCATTTATATTAGCAAGGGATCAAGACAAGGGTGTCCTCTGCTCCCGCTGTTATTCATGCTGTACATAGTGAGGATGGAAAAAGTGCTAGAAGATAGCAACATTAGTTTTAATCTGTCACACCAACAAGGTGGCCTGATGACTCCGCGGAAGCTTCCAGGTTTATTTTATGCGGACGATATTGACTTTGCGACCAGTCTAGATGACACTGTCACATGGTCGTGACATTGACAGAGGTAGCGGTAGACGTATTGCCGCGGGTATGTGCCAGTGGTGGCGACAACGACACAGCACAAGTGTCCTTGGCTGAGTGCAGACATGAAGAAGACACGTTGCAGTCTTTTTTTTTTTGTGATCGATATTTCTTTGGATAGGCTTTAGCGCGATTTATACGAAGACCACAGGAGACGCACAAAACACAGACGAGCGTTCAGAGTTTATTTGCACTTGAACAAGCCTTTTTATGTGCTAAAACCTGCCTGCATTACCTATAAACAAAAGAGCAAGATAAAAAATGATATAAACGGAACCCAAGATTTATAAGCAAAAATAAAATGCAGATGCTTACAGTGGGACCAAATATCAAAGATAATGCGCACCTATATCACAAAAAGCAAACTGAACTTCGAAATCAAGACTGCACATGATTTATACTCTAAAAACGGCACCTTCAAAATAAAAGCTGACCAAGAGCAAGAAGTGGAATGTTTAACTTGTCCTGGTGATAATTGAAGTGAGTGTCTAAAAAAAGAAGCAATAAAAACACGGAAACCTGCCTGTATAGGTAATACAGGCAGGTTTGGCGCATAAGAAGGCTCGTTTGAGTGCAAATAAACTTAGTTGCAAGTCGGCGCTCGTCTGTGTTCTGTGTGTTTCCCATGGTCTTCGTCTAAATCGCGCTGAACCCCTATCCAATTATGTACCAAGTCGCCCACAATTATGTACCAAGTCGCCCATCAAAGTGCTTTTGTAATCGATATTTGTTGGTGGTTCTTCGTGTGATCGTCAATCTCATGTTGTCACACTGGTGGGGGTGCTGGGTAGTCTTCATGCTTGGCACCCCTTCGTGAACCGACCATCGAGCCTGGAGTAGCTACCACATAGACAAGCTTGCGAATATGTTCTTCTACCTGAAAGACAATGCCCAGACGTGGTACATCAACCAGGAAAGAAGCCTGGCAATGTGGAAAGACTTCCACAAACAGCTGCTTGACACCTTTACTAGCCTCGATAGAAAAGAGAAAACGCACCGTCTCTTGGAAGCTCGAATTCAAAAACCAAACGAGTTGCTATGCTCGTTGAAGACATGACCCGTTTTTTCTGCAAAGCAGATCCCGAGATACCGAGAGACAGGAAGCTACAGTATCTCATGCGAGGCGTGAAGGAGCAACTGTTTGCTGGGCTTGTGAGATATCCACTAATAACAGTAGCTGAATTCACTAAAGAAGCCACAGCAATTGAACCAGCCCTATAGCAACGGTACCGCCAGCGTAACCTGGTAAACTATGTAGCAAGTAGTCCCGTTACAACTGCGGCGAGCCTTTGTGACGACATGGCCTCTGCAGAAAGTCATCCTGGAGATTCTGAGGGAAGAGCTTTGGCATTAGGTTTAATTCTAGCAACCGAACTTATGCCAGCATTGTCTTTTGTTGCCGTTCTTGTCCTGGATGAGGTCAATCAGGCTCTCTCTTCATCCAGCTATGGTGGTGTGCGACGACATCTTACTTACGTTGATGCAGTCCGACGCCTCGTGGTCGCACGTTCGCCATCGCGGACTCCAATGACTGAACGACCACTAAACCTGCAAATACAGCCGCTCTTAGCGCCGACAACTTTCCCAAACTCGTCGATCTCGCCGACAAGACGAATGCCATATGGACAACATCTGAACCCCACACCGTGGTTCACTAGTGAGTCCCCGCTGACCTACCAGCATCGGAAAACCACTTTGTGGCGTACCGCTGAGTCAACCGGTATGCTTTCATTGTGGCGAAGCTGGGCACGTCTACAGAGTTGGCCGTTATCGCGACGCTCAGTACTTGAGATTTCCTCGCTACTCTGATTACGCTACGTATTACGGTCGACGCATATACGTATAACGACGCTCCTGTGAGCAAACCGCCACAGAATCCAGTGACACCCAGATCATGCTTTCCATCTCCTGCGCGATGCAGTTCACCTATTTGTCACAATTTTGCCAACGTCACTAGAGACAGGTCCCCTAGCCCACGATGGGGAAACTAGACGCAGCGACCACGGGGGTTGGGGTTGCCAATCACTGTAATTCTGAACAGTCCCAATTACAGACTAATGATAGCTTGAAGTCACTGATGACAAAGATGACAACAGCAACGACTAATCTGACATAACCGTCAACCTGCCGACATAACCGTCGTTGTCAGCGCTGACATCGTCGTTCATATTGATGGCTCTTGTGGACACCAGCTCTCACTTTTCTATAATAAGCCTACAGCTGGCCCACAGACTAAGGAAAGTGAAGATGCCATGGCACGGACCTCATATAAGAACTCCAAGGCAGCTGATGACACCGGTTGGAAAGTGCACAGCCCAACTCACTGGTTCTACCTTTGTCGCCACCCTCGTTATTCTTCACGAGTGCTGTAAGCAGCTTATATTGGGAATGAATTTCTTGCCTGAATAAGGGGCTGTGATTAACATACGCGACAGAAGAGTAACATTAGCTATAAACTCGGACATTGCTACTGATGAGGAACACCAGCCACCTCGCTTCCATTTCGACGATGAGGATGTCATACTTAAAGAGGCACTGAAAGACATTTTTGAGTAACCATGGAATTTATTCACTGAAAAAGCGTATTGCCTCACCAATTCAATGCCGGAAAAATTTCAAGAATCCGTACAGTATTAGCGGAGTTACAAAAATTTGTCACACGCTGCAATTGCATTGTCTCTTCTCTTGTCCCGACAAAAGCGCTGGAAGCTAACCAGGGAGGCATGGGAGGGGCAAACAAAAAACGTCACGTGCGCTTCGTGACCTTGAGCACTTTTTTTTCTCTGAATATGCAACTTTTTCAGTGCAATCGCACACACACGCATGAACAAGTGACGGCCTCTTGCGGCGATCTCTGTAATGACAGAGAGAGCCATGTTCAAATCAGCTAATGGCCGATAGATGGACATTCTATGTGTGATTTTTGAGCATCTTCCCTCATTTGTCGAGGGAAGAGAAAGCAATTTTTAGCTGACTTCGATAATTTATTGTGAATTCCAGGCCGCGTGCTGCTCTATAACATGTGACTCACGTTTTTTCGGGAGCCTCTACTACTGATCAGCAGCGTTTCCTGATTATGCTCAAAATGTGTTGCAGGGCCCCTTTAAAACTCCTAAAACTTCGTAAAGTAGTGATGTATGTGGTAATACGTGTGCATCCTCTCTTTTTCCTCTCCTCCAACCTCTCCGAGGCTGGCGCCGCGTCTGTATTTGCCTGATGCCATCACATGAAACCGCTCCCAGTGCTTGTTTTTTTACAGTGGCTCGCGACAACCATCTTTGCTCTCGAGGCGCGGACTCCTTGGGGCACCGTGCATCTGTTTTGACGTATAGGAACTTGTCCTTCCGTGGGCGCTGTGCTGTGAAATACTTTTCACCCAAGAATGACGTCGCTGTTCGTTCCAGTGAGTGGTTGTTGCGCCTTCTGAAGGCCGAAAAATTGTACTGATGGCTGAAAGCTCTTAATGATATCGCCCGTTAAAGCCGACTCCGGCAATTTTTCGACGTCAGTGAATCTCGATGAAATTCACTGGGTAAGTTCATTTGCACGTCTGCGCCATTCATGCCAAATTGCAGGCTTGAGAGTTTCGCCGATTCTTTTCAAATGAATTTTATAGCTTGCCTCGAAACACTCACCTCGCTTGCCAGAATTAATGGCAACATTGTGTGCGTGACGTTGAGTTTTGCCTGGCGGAAGCGACGAACTGATGCGCCACTGCAGCATCTACTTGTCTTCTAAGGATTGTGTGGGTTTGGCCGGCATTTCCTTAGTTGAGCATGCAATTTCCTTTTCCATGTCTGGATAGGTGCCAAGTGGTGTTTCGTTGTGAACCACACACGATTCGTCATTTATTCACCTTAACAGCGTAAGCGTTTTAGCCGATCACCACGCATGGCGTAGACAGGTAGTGCCATCTGGTGGGACTAGGTACAATCAGGCAGGTTCTGGCAGCATCAGGCTAATCTTTAGGTCACACATAGAAGCGCACTTGGCTGGTTTCGGTATTGCAGTTTTTCAGTAATTAAAAATTAGTTTCTAATTTTTGGAACATCTCAGCTATCGGGCTTGTGAGAAGACTGTCTAAGGAACATAAAAGCACCATTATCCTGCCATGGTCAGAAAACTGTCGGAGTTGGACTTTAAGCACAACGAGTTGCGGCAAAAAACATGGTTGCATGGAATCGGAAGCGATAACTTCAGGCTGACATTTCCGAATCCACTTAGCGAAGTAAGTTGCGCGTCTCTCACTATGAGTATGGTTCCATGTTGTAGACTGCTCTAATGCCTGCTCTAATGTCGTAGACAAGTCGCAGTTAGTAATGCAGGACATCGCGATCTCTCACTCAGGTTTCATTTATGCTTCTGCAGGGCACTGTTATTTTGTCAACAATACATGCTTATGTGCTCTGCTTGTCGTTATGCACTCAGTTGTTTTAA